GTTCCTGCAGATCCTTGTTCTGTACTAAGGTTGGTCATCTCACTGAAAAGTTCCTCATGCTGCAGCTCCAGTGTGTGGGACCGTTTCTCCAGTTCTTTCAGTGCTTCTTGCTTCTCTTGGTCCTTTTCTTGAAGTTCTTTGTTTTTCTTCCAGTTCTTTATAATTCTTATCCTGTGCTTTCTTTGATGTTGTCATTTTTAGTTGTAATTTCTGACATCTCTTCTGTATTTCTTCAAGCATGTATTTATGTTTTTTCTCCCGACATTGTTTCTCCTCCCACATTTCAGTATTTGTGTACTGACTTTATTGCAAATGTGTATTTTTGGTCACCATTTCTTGGGTACTGCACTCAATTTCTGTGCATTTTGTCTCCAATTGTTTCTCTTGCTCAAATCCAATGTTTTTCTCCTTTTCTTCATTATAAAATACCTCCAAGTCAGAATTCTTCTTGTCAAACTCGTGGAGAAGATCCTGCAACTCTCTCCGTGTCTCTTCCAGTTGTTCCTTCTCTTTCAACATCTCTGTGTTTCTTCTGAGTGCTTCATCAAACATCACTCTCAGCTGTTCATATTTTTTTCTCCATGTCTTCATCTTGTTGTGTTGCCTCTTGCTTTTCCTTCTCTTTCAGCATTTGTGAGTTTTTTTTGAAGATCTGCATCAAACATTGCGTGAAAGCCTTGATTTTTCTTTTCCATGTGTTGGAGCTTGCATTGCATCTCTTGATTTATAGCTTCCATTTCTTGAATTTTGTACTTCATCAGCTGGCATGTTGCCTCCTGCTGTTCTTTGTCTTTCAGTGTTTGTGTATTTTGTCCTTCATCCAACATTACTCTCAAGCCTTTCACTATTTTTTCTCTGTGGCTTGGAGTTTGCAATGCATCTGTTGTTGTATTGCCTCCTGGTCTTCCTTCTCTTGGAACAATTGTGTATTTTTTGTTCTGATTCCACGGTGTCATCTCTCTCTCTCTCCCTTTTCCTTCCAACTGCTGTCAGATTCTACAACATGGTCTCCGCAGATGACCACACATGTGCAACACACACAAACATCCAATACACCATGATAGCCTTCGCCCAGTCTCCCTTGTATGCAATATTAGGTCCAATACCAAGTGCGTTTTTTTTTTCCTGCTATAACAGTTACTGTTTAATTTTATTTTATACAGTATGTTATTCATGTTGTAAAGTCTGTTATTCTATTTTATCTTATTCTATTATGTTTTTCTTAACTTTTACTGCTCTTTAACTTGTACTTTCTGCCGTGAACAAGAAATTTTCCACACATGGAACTAACAAAGATTTGTCTTTTCTTATCCACAGTATTCCTGAGTTCGCACCATTACCCCTGATTCATAGCAGAAGATGGCTTTTTACTTCCGCTTGCACTATTGTTGACAATTGCGGGGTTACACCTTCACTGTCGATAAAGGTTTCTCTCACTGCAGTTACTCAGCATCAATGGCAACACGTGGTTGGTGGATATGTTTTAAAAGCAGTGAGGACAGTGCAGTAGTATGGCGTTATTTTTGTGCCACTATTCTGAGCGCACATAAAAAAAATGTGAGCCCACGTAAAAAACATTTGCAGGTGCAAGTGTTGCATTTTAAGGAGAGCAAAGTTTGAGCAAAGAAAAGCTAAATTTGAGTGAACAAAATGCATTGCTGCGTGCAAAAAATGTATTTCAGTGTTTGCTATTATCCGTACACACCAAGCCTCTTCAAATGGTGGCCTGCGGGCCACATGCGGCCCAGAAGCAACCTCCAAGTGGGCCTGCCCATGGTCCTAGCAGAAACACAGAGAAAACAAAAAAATATATATATAGAAAATACATTACAGAAAATACAGCATAGTGTGGACAATGAATGCAACACTCCTAGTAGCCTAGCAATATTACACCCACAATGCACCGTGTTGTAAACATATCAAGCTATCATCGTAATGTATGATGCGACATTAGC